CTCCCCTTTTTTATGTGATAATGATGGAATCTTGCATCCATCCAAATCTTGAAAATTTCAAGATAGAAAATGTTAGATTCAAACTTATTCCTCACAAATCCTCTCTTCCTTTGCTTTTATATCTTTTCAAGTTTATAGGTTTTTCTTCCCATTTCTATATGATAATGATGCAATCCTCAAAAAGAAAAAGAAAAAAAGGGAAATCTTGCTCCAAATCTTCCCAACCTTCTCCAATACTCTCGTATTCAAAATCTGCTCATTAAGACTAAAGGTTTGATATTTCTATTATTTTTCTTTTACGAATCATTTTCTTGTCGTAAGCACAACCGTTTTGAAATTTAAACATAGGATCCAAATGCTTAGTTTTAAGAATTTGTAATCAGATAAAAATTATATGTACCCTCGAATTGCTCTAAACGTCTTTGAGAAACGTAACTTGATGTTTGAGGATAATTTATATAAGGAATTGCATGGTTAATTACTCTTTAGAAATACTTTATAGCATGTTTCTTGTTTTATTGTGCTAGAAATACTCAATTGTGTTTACCTAGTTTTTAATTCCATTATGTTATATTGTCCACTTAACTAAATCAACTTTCTTGTCTTTGTTGTAGGGATTCACATTTACCGTGAAGAAGATGGCTCAAGGTTCTCAAGGCTCACGGGTAAAGCAGGTATGATTTTAGAGTGTTGAGTTAATCAAGAGATTTGAGTGATGAATTACATGATATAGTGTGAAAACCAACCGCACTTGATATCCCGTCATTTGATTATTCAATTGTCCGTTAGAGGTATTATAAGTTCAACGTGTTTTTCATTATAATGTGTATTTAGCACTTAAGTTTCTAACTAACGAAACCGTGAATTATACATGCTTGGACTAATCAAGAGATTTGGGTGTTAGATTGCATAATTGTACAAACTAACCGAATTTGGGTATCCCGTCATTTGATTATTCAATTGTCCGTTAGAGGTACCACAAGTTTAACTTGCTTTTGTATGATAGTGTAAATTAGCATTCAAGTTTCTAATTAGTCCGATCGTGAATGATACATACTTTATAATGTATACATGAATAATTTTAGATTGTTGAATATGTCTAATTTGTATTCGATTGTGATTAATGTTAACTTAATGTTTTATTTTAAACAAAATGTAAACTTAGTGTATCTTAATAACTTGTATATAAATCAAGCGAATAGGTCAGAAGCTAAAGATAAATGAGAAAACAAAACAAATACGCAATCGAGTTACGAAGAGCACTCAATCGTGAACGTTGTAATTATTAAAAGAGTATAATTTTGAACATTGTAAAGAGCACAACACAACAAAACACAAGTGGAGATTCTTTTACCCCGACTCACACTCTCTATTTTAGTGTGGAAGATATGTATCTAGTGTCAAAGATATTCAATTGGGCCTAGTAATAGAATGATGTTTCAGTTTATTAAAGTGCGTATAATCTGTTTCTGATGCTTGTCTCTGTTCTTTGAGAAGTGGTAAATTTCATTTGTATGCCTTTTAAAAAAGGTCAACATTTGCAATCATATTGAAGTTTGGCACGACGTTGCCTTTGACGTTGCTTTTGCCTTCTACTAGGCAGCACCGGCGTAACAACTTGTGAGGTTTTGCCACAAGCAGAAATATTGTCATCAACAGGAGCGATAGCCTTCACAGTACAGGGTCTTCAGGGGTTGGGCATCCTTCTTCAAACCTAGTCGCGAAATTAAATAGAGAAAGGAGCAATACAAGAATGTGAAATTTTTTTACCATGAGGTTTCAAGGTTTCAAGATTTGATGTTCAGATGAACAGTTTCAAGATTAAACGATCTCAAAGAATTGAATATGTGTCTGCGGAAGAATTAAGCAAACAGATGTTCGTTTAAAACGTATGAAACGTTCTCCTCGCGCAATAGCGTCTTTTCTTTTTTAGTCGGTTCTGTTTCCAAATCAGACTTTCTTCCTCCTTTTTCTTCTTTTTTCCATTCATTTAACTTAATACTTAGGGCAATTCACGTTCTGGTTTGTAGTAGAACTTACTCTGCGAACTAAATTAAGACAGAGATGGCGTTTGATGTCTCTTCTAAGATCTTTTGGTAAACTCTGGACTATGTTTTCTTCATCGACTCCTCTTGTTTCTAACCATTTGTATTGATCATAGCGTCTGACTCGTTCCCTCAGGTTCTGTGGAAGTGACCTATGATGCATCCATTGTTCGGAATCGCGTCTTTTGATCCTCATTTCCTCTAAATGAACCGTAAGTGATTGAAGGCAAGTCTGCATATTCCCGATAAGAAGCGCGAAAAGAAGATTTCGACTTTACAAGCCGATCTCAAGCATGTATCCTTACGTTCCACTGAGAACATGTACCAGAAAGCGCCAGTTATCTACCAAAGTATATAACAAACGTTTTGAAAACAGAGAAAAAACAGAACAAAGCTGTTGTCAGAATTTTAACCTAAAGATGGATTGAAAATCTTACGTGGCTTGCAAGCATATACCAGAGGAGGTAATAAGCAGCACCAACCCAACCACCTTCAGCGAAAGCTCCTGCGGTTTTCTTGATCTCTGATGTTAAAGGAACAAACATAACGAACCTCTTGGTATGTACTGTGTGATGACTAATAACGCCTGTTTTGTCGGTAATACATCTGTTCCTTTAGATCCATGTAGAAATTCCCACACCGCAATCTGCAACAACAACTATTTACACCACGAACAAAAATATTAATACATGTCTTCCTCCGGTGGATTTTACTTCGTATTTAGTTAAGTCTTAAGACAGTTTGATACTTTGATTATATACAATTAGCAATAGTCGTAATACATATGTAGTTAACACTAAGAAAAAAGCAACACTTCGTTC